AGGTAGCCAGAAGCACTGCGCTCTGCAGCTGAAGTTAATTTAAATTGTGTGAACGCATTAAAAATGCCCTTTAAACCAGAAACCCTGAAGGCAAGCACCACAATCAGATTTTAAATGAATGTTTAGCACTGAGTGCTCGATAAACACGGCAGCCTGCATTTGAAGACGTATGTGTGTGTATATGTGTGCTGTGCATGTCTGCTTGTGTGAAATGCATTCTTGCGACATGTGTGTGTATGTGAGTGTGAGAATATGAGTAAGATCATTAATGAGGATGTGAGCGCTGTGGACAGAAATAGCAGACTGAGAGGCCTGCGGGGCAAGAAGGGAAGAAACTTGCAGCTTGTGACTGCAGTAGTGTTGTTTTTGGCGGCCTGTTTTAATTTTAGTTTTAGTCTAGTCTTTGTGTGAAACTGTCATTTTAGTTTTTATTAGTTTTAGTCACGTTCATACTCTTTTTAGTCTAGTCAAGTTTTAGTCGACGAAAAGTCTGAGCATTTTAGTCTAGTTTTAGTCGACGAAAACTGATGACATTTAGTCTAGTTTTAGTCAATGAAAATTGTATTTTAGTTATCTTACACATTTAGTCTCGTTTTTATTCGTCAACGATATTGCATTATACATTTAATTATAGTCATCGTCACATGACCAGCATTTTCGTCTCGTCTCGTTTTCGTCACGTGATAAAGGTTCGTTGGACGATATTTTGTCATAATTTTCGTTGACGAAAGCAACACTAGACTGCAGCACAAAATGCACGGCTGTATGGTTCACATAGTCAAGAGTTTAAACAGGAGTGGATTGAATAATGTCTGCATAAACCAAGGGGATAAAGTTTGTCTGGTTAGCATGGCCCTGCTAGTATATCCCCTAACTAAAAAAAACCTGGTTACTAAAAGCATATTTTGCCACATTTAAAAGTAGCCGTGTATTTTGATGCAAACTTTCTATAGCTAAAATTTTATTATAATATATTTTCTTGATTCTGTTTTAGGGGATTATTAAAGGAATAATTCAGCCAAAAATGAAAATTTACTGGTTCCATTCATTCACCACATATCAAACTCTCTCTCACATTTCGGTTGTGACCGCAACACATTTAAAGAATGCAGACATCGCATTTAGCACTAACTGCACTCTAAACAAAACTGATAACCATATTCTGCTGCTGTGTGAACGTAACCATGTCGAGTCTCACTCTGATCTCATTTAGATGAAGTCATGATCCTTACTGGTCAGAACAAAAAGCATGTTGTCTCCTTGCTGATTCTACCTGTTCATTCACAAGAGATATGGGGCCTACGGCCATCTATTGAACAACAGCATCCTCTAGTGGACATTAGCACAGAACAAGCTGTGATAATGCAAAACCTCATTACACAAACGGACCTCATGAAATGTATTCAATACTGAGAAGGACAGTTCCGTGTTTACTTTAATGATTAGAACAATGAGAAGGTTCACCATACTTGGCCACATGTCACTTCACTTTAACTTTTTTTTTTAAATACATTTTATGAGGCTATCAAACGCAGGCCCAGTGTAATATACTGTTGCACTGGAGAATACAACAAGTGTGAAGTACATCTGACAGTATTTGGATACTCAGTGTATTTCCATATCTAAATAACCTCAGATGAACTGTCAGCATATCTGTCTTCAAGTGTGTTAAAAAATGTGTTTTCACTCATAAAGAAGGCTAATGTAGTTTTGGTGAAAACCTTCAGTTTGTGAGGTTAGTGTACTCAGGTGGGTGAAAATGATTCGTCCTACTTACACACAGAAACATTGTTTTTGGGGTAATTTAAATGAATCAGTGTTGCATGCTCTCTCTTTGCAAGTAAAGCTTGTGAAAACTGTGGGTGAAGTGTTAGATTTGTGTCGTGACAGTTGCAGATACATTTTACTGATTTTTACATGTATGCATTTGGCAGGTGCTTTTATCTAAAGCAACTTAATGCATTTAGGCTCCACATTTTATCAGTATGAGTTTTCTGTGAGTATGAAACCCATGACCTTGGCATTGCTAGCACTATGCTCTACCAGTTATAGTTATACATATGCTGTATACGCTAGTGTATGGTAAAGATGAAAATTCTATGCATGTTCAAATGTCTCTAAACCTGATGTGTATGTAAGTGCACATGAGATTTGACCGTTATTGCGAAATGGCAACTGTTGATTGTAGCATATAAAAATGTAAATTTCAGTCTTTTCCTCATACAAGGTTATTGCGGGGGCTACTTGTACAGTGCCTCTGGTCATTTTTAAAACTTTGAGACCTCCATTCATTTTCATTATATGGTCGTTCTGCCAAACATATTTTGTGTTCTACAGAAGATAGATAGTCATACAAAAAACAAAAAAAAAAATCTGAGTAAATGATGACAATTTTCATTTTTGGGTACATGTTTACAAGTGGCTTGTTGCTAGGGAAAAAATTAATTGTTGATAATTTTATTATCTCTAAATGGTGGTTTCCCATTGACAATCCATTTTAGTGTGGTTTATATTACTGAGAAATCAGGTCATGCTGTTCAGTGTAACCTTTGGATTCCTATTGATGTGACACAAAAACAAACAAAACAGATTGCTCTGGAAGCCTGGCAGCCAGCAGGCTGTGACTAGTTAATACTGTAAAGTCCACAGAGTACATAAGATACATGTGTATCTATGCTCTGCTGTATAAAATGTCAGGTTTGCCAAATACTCCTGCCTGCCAGGCAGTGCCATGCCAAACTCAAAAAGAAGTATTTTTGCACTGAAAGAAATGACACATAGTACCTTCAATAGGCTTCAAAATTTTACAGTAGTTGCAGCACTCATATACAAACACATGATGGCAGTGTTGAGCTGGTTTAACTCAAACGTACAGATGCATCAGGTGAGTTGAGACCACACAGAGTCTCAGGCAGCTGTCACTTTTCATTGATTGTTGTTATTCTGCTGCAAATCTCAGTCAATCTCAACATATCTGTGAGAAAACACCTGAGGTAAATAACTAGTGAAGATAAAACAAGCTATTTACCAACATTTAGGTATTATAATAGAACAGGTTGTTTTAAAGAGTGAGGAAAAGTAAAGAGTGAGGAACTGTGACATTGTACATACTTAGTACTACTTAAGGCTTGAATGACATTGTTCTCCAACAGTCCATAGCTCAAGGTTAAACAGCCTCCACGTGGCTCATCTGCAGGCACGTGCAGAGGGGGGTGCGATGGGTGCTTGATCACCTGCCCCTTTTCCCCTTGATGCCCAAAGTGCCCTTTTGTCAAGGCAATTTTATTTTTATTTTTTTTTGTAATTAAACGCCATTTTGTGAAGGCCTGCCCAATCTATTAGTAAAATGAATGAATAATAATTTAGTCGTAAATAAAATTATCCACATGATGATGACCTTTCACCTGACATCTCATCAGGGACTATCCCTCCCGTTCAGACACCTCACGTTTTTTTCTGCTTTTTATTCCGCTCAGCTACAGCGATAGCCGGATGCTTCTGTCCATATTAGGGTTTCCTGCACGTCATAAGTCATTCCTTCTATGAGTCTGTTTTGGACTTTCTGCACGAGAGCGACCTCCGGCTTCGAGTATGAATTAAACACACACTGCATGAGAGTGTTGAGCGCTTTCATATTCACTTCTCATTTTGGATGCGAATAAAACGTCAGGTCATGCATACATAGACTATCGATACTGTCTCTTTGAATTTAAATCTAGAATCCTCTACGTGAACACACCTGCCCGAATAAAGTGCGGGGGACGAAATTAAATTTTTTTAAAATTAAATATTAAAAATGCAGCTAACCTTCTACACACAGCAATATAAACAACGGTGCCTGTTCTCTTTCGTTCTTGCTGTTTGATTGGGAAAAGTTTAAAGGGCGTCGAGGGGTCTTGTCTTTATGTTATCTGACTAAAAAACTATTACTTTTAACTTTTTTTATTATAGTATTTATTTTAAAAACGTAGAGTGCCTTAAAAATAATTATCACAACCCTGATAAAACTCATAATTTTCTCATCCTCCAATTTATAGGCTACTTATCAATCCTGTTTTTATCATTATAATTTAAAAAATGAATAAATTCAGAACAGGATTATAATATAATTCTATTTTAAATAAGACAGAAATATTTTTTCTACAACAACAATAGTGTTTACAACAGCAAAACCTCCATACACTGTTTGCTGCTATCAATACAGAAGCATCCGTTTCGATACATGTCTCAGCAAGGAGCACAGCCCTAAAAGCCATGCTCCATGTGCCCCTTTTATACTTTGAGCACCTGCCCCTCCAAAGGTCTCTGCACGGCCCTGCTCATCCGTTTAATTATGTGACTTATGTGGCTTCAGGCTGGGGATGATGGGAGAGAGCGAGAGTGGCCTGCATGGCTGGGCTGCTGATGGACTGCAGTCAGCTCTGGTTAGTGCCAAGCACCAGCTCCGTGCCCATCCGCATTCAGATTTCCCATTACTCTTTGATTAAGGGAGTGTCAGAAGCACATGTGATTGATGAGCTGTCAGGGGAAAGCCGCCGACTGGAACGCCTGATCCTCTTCCTCATTAAACACTCCAGGAGAACAGCTCCTCTTCTTCACGCACATACAAACAATACACTCATGGAGAGAGATCCTAATTTAGCTCGAGCTGTGAGCCGCCTCTGTGCCAGGGAAGACAAACCCTTCAAACAGCGAAGGCTTCAAACAGCTGATTGTTGCACAAAGATCTGGGGGTATGCATCTCCCCTGACTCTGATTTTTTTGTGCTCACAAAAGAGAGGGATCAAGAGGAGCAAGAGGAGAGGAAGAAGACAGAGGGATGGATGTGGAACAAGGCTGGAGAGAGACAGGGGAGGGGAGGGAAGAGGAAGGGAGAGAAAGAGAGAGATAGATGCAGCCAATGCGCAGCACGGCATCTTGAAAGAGCGCGAAGAGAGAGAGAGAGAGAGAGAAAAGAAGGGAGGGAGAGGGAGCGGAGGAGTGCGAGTCAGGCACTGGCAGTCGCTCTTCGGCTGAAGAATAACGTGTTTCGTGCATCGCTGTGATGCCGTCGGATGCGAGCATCTGGTACATGTGAGCTGGTTTTGAGACTCTTGTGTACACGTGTAGCCGCCTGTCCCTTGGCTGGAGGAGAGGGAGGAGGAGGGTGCATCAGGTTCGTGTCCATTCCTGCACGCTGCATCTGGACTCCGGCGCCAGGGAGTGTGGGGGGGCACTAGGGCCAGGTGGCTGGCCGAGGGACGACATGAGCGTTCCGCTCCTGAAAATTGGCGCGGTGCTCAGCACCATGGCCATGGTCACCAACTGGATGTCCCAGACGCTGCCCTCGCTGGTGGGGCTTAACGGAACCACCATCTCCCGCGCAGGCACCTCAGAAAGGATCGTCAGTGTGCGTAACCCTTCACTTTTCTACTCTTCCTGTCTGTTTATCTCTCGGTGTGTCTGTTTGCTCATCCGAATAAGCCAATAAGTCAGGACCTTTTGTGTTAGAATAGTTACACTCTTCTGTGGTTACAATCCTCAGAAATTTGCTAGACAGGCTTTTAGGGGGATTTTCAGGGCAAGAGGCAGGTAAATTGAATGTGTGTCTGGCTTTGGGGGTTGGTTACAGAGGAATTGATGGCTGGTGTGGGTGAGTGATTCTCAGTGGGAGATGATAGACGAGGAAGTTATACCCAGTGAGATTCATGACTCCTGTGAGGATATCCTCACTTGGCAGGGGGAGAGGAGTTAAGTACATCATGACTGATGTTCAGGTCAAATAGAGACAGGGAGGCAGTGTCTCACCTGCTGATGGTACCGAGACATGAGGTTAAACTTTAATAGCATTTGAGCCAACTCTTTTCTTCCAAAGAGGCAACATTTCTCTTTTTCCCACCCCCTCATGCTCTCCTTTTTTAATCAAATCCACTGTACTTTTTTTTTTTTTTTGTGAACTGTGCGCTTGTCCATAACAGAATTAAGTGCCTTGTGCGAGAGAGGCCGGGCCTTTGGCACTGTCAAAGCTGTCACATTTACAGTAAAAACAGAATGAGAAGAACAAAATCAAAATAAGACTCTAGAGCAAGGGTGTCAAACTCAATTCCTGGAGGGCCAGAAACCTGCAGAGTTTAGTTTCAGCCCTAATTAAACACACCTAATCCAACTATTCAAGTCCTTCAGGATTATTTGAAAACTACATGGAATGTGTGTTGGAGCAGGGTTGGAACAAAACTCTGCAGGGCTCCGGCCCTCCAGGAACTGAGTTTGACACCCCTGCTCTAGAGCTAAGCACTTTGTTATATCTTAAAGGGGTGGTTCATTTCACTTTTTTTAACGTTAGTTAGTGTCTAATGTTGCTGTTTGAGCATAAACAATATCTGCAAAGTTACAAAGCTGAAAGTTCAATGCAAACGGAGATATCGTCTTTTAAAATTCTGGCAGTTTAATGCCTACCACAACGGCTAGTAGGGACTACAACAAGTTACTTTCCGGGTGCGTGACATCACAAACCCAGATAAACCATCAGCCCGTTTCTCAGAGAAGGGACAGAGCGGTGTGGAATAAAGGTAAATTATGTGAAAAATAATGCGTTTTTTAAAAAACGAAGCATTATCACATGTTAGACTGTACCCCATAAACACAATCAAGCCTAGAAAAAACCCAGTGAACCACCCCTTTAAAAGGTTAAGTAAGCACTGGCTGAAATTTAAACGTTCACAATTCTGCCAGAATGTAAGTAATTATCTTGCATGTGTGAGTGTGTATGCTTTTGTTTTCCAAATGTTGGGTATTGAAAAATGGGACCAGGTGTGAGTAGGTGGAAGAGGGTGAATGGAGAGTGAGATGTGATCCCTGTAATGTTTTCTGGATCATTAATGTTAAGAGACTGCCTGGGGTATCTGCTGTGTAGTATCTGAGCATCTGCCCCACAATAAAAGCTTTACCCGGCGTAGCTTATGGCCAGGGACGACACTCCATCTGGATGAGAGAGGAGACGCTGTAGGGGTCATTTGGGTCGGTCAGGATGCCTACACTGAAGAGGAGTCTGCAGAAACTGTCTATCACAGCTTTGTCTAACACGTTCACACTCGCTTTGGAAGACTGTTACTACTCACCACAAGCTAAAAGCTATAGGGATGGAGGCTCCTTTTCTGTAGAGCTGTTTAACATGTGGAATTCTACAGTCAACACCAACACTGCTTCATTTCAAACCAGATTATTCATCTAGTCATGTGCTCGTGTGCACCCACTGATCATGCCATAAGACGGTCCACTTTGAGTACTATTTATCCAAATGTAGTCACCAGGAGTTAAGCTTGGTATGTGGGTAAATGAGAGGAAGCCAAGCAGGAAATTCAGAATTGAAGAATTGGCTCCCTTTCAATCAATTAATGTAAATTTAAACTGAATCAGAATAACAGGATGAGGAATTTACTGAACTGCAATTCTGTGAAATGAAGGGGTCTTTCACCCTTATCTATCTATCATTCTACCTTTAAAAAACTTCAATGTTTTTAAAATTTGTTTTCAAAACATTCCAACTTTGCTCTGTAAAGCCAACATTCAAAGTTTATCTTGACAAATTTGGCTTTACAAGTTAAAAATTATAGTCATATGAACTTTAGGAATTTCAATTAATTTTAATTTACACTTGCAACTTGCAATTGCAATTCTGCATCCTATTTGCAATTTCGGTTTAAATTGAATTCCAATTTAAGAACTGAATTGGCATTTAACCCTTTCGCACGTGAGTTTAAAATATTCTAGCTGAGCCCCCAGCGTGAGTTTTTTTAGGCGACCGTTATTTTAAAATGTATCGCCTTATTGTTTCCATGGCGACGCGTCATGCTTGTCATGTGACACAACGCAGCCAAAATAGATCTGTATGACACATGGATCGCTTTTATTTCGTTTTTCCTGTTTTATTCAAAATATTCACAAACATGCTCACTATATTATGAAATATCTGATATTCCGATTCTGAAATATGTGCAATTAAATCTATTTGGTAGTTTAAACACTTTTATATGGACCGTGTTAGTTTATCTACACCGGGTGATGGGCGCCGCCATGTTAGTTCGCACTGAATCCGAGCTGTGGGATTTACAACACGCAAATTCATCCTCTCCTCCAGAAACACGTTAAAGTAGGTCTCCGGTAAACTGGGAGAAGAGCAGAGTAAACTTTATAGTTACCTACACAATCTGTATATGATATCAATAAAAACATGTCGTCAGATTATATTTGTAAGGATCATTATTGCCGTTTCCATAGACATCAGCGTGCATTTTACAAACTGTAAATGTATGGTTTTGCTAGTACTTGTGTATTTAAATGTCTGAAACCTAAAATAAGCATTATAGAAAACACTGAATATTATATTTGTGATAATATGACAAGCGCTCAGCTCGTCTGAAAGCGCGAAAGCAGATTTAAATTCAGCAGTTGATGACGTGACGCACTGAAAGTTCTAATCACACCGGTGTGATCGTACGCTTCAGGGACCAGCCTAGAGTGATCACACCGGTGTGATCGTACGTGTCAAAGGGTTAAAAGGCATTCTCAGTTCAGTGCTGAATGTCACACAAATCTAAAGCTCAGGTTAGGTGCAAGCTCCAGAAATTTGATAATGCCTATTTCAAATACCTGCAAAGTGGAAACTACTGGAAAATGAGCCAAAATTGTTCAGGACATTTATTTATTTAGCTAAAGTGGCACCCATTGAAGCTCCACTATCGGTAGTCATCATTACCCAAAACACATTAGCATTTGTGAACTCCCCGGTATCTCATTTCAAGCAATCGCTTTAAAACATTGCCTCACTTCACCTCAAGGAAAAACCAAGGGGAAATTAGCATACGTTAAAAAACTAATTTATTCTCTGTGATAAGTGTGAACCTATCCAAAGCGATCTGACTTTGTAAAGGCTCAAAATCTAATCTCAAAAGCAGCTTGCTCTCAGTCGGAAAGAGAGATGCATCACTCTGTTCTTGAGATGAGGTGATCATGTGAAATGAGCTGGAGAATGGAGGTGTGGTCCGTGAAGCAGAGTGACTGATGGACTCGTAGCAGGCTGCAGGGATGTCTTTTCTTCTCTTCAAAGCAACTTGTCTTCCATGCTGCCATGATGATCTAGGACCTACATGACTGTCCAGTCTACCGTCATGTCACTGCTACACTTTAAGTGTGCCGTATTCCATCAGCTCTGAGCAACAATCACACCGTGCTTCACTTGCTCTTTTTTTGCCCTTCTCAGCTCAGCTGCTAAGTCATGTGAACTTGTCACGTGTAAAGATCATCACTACACTAGTGATACCAAACAGAATTTTAAAATGCTTTTTCACGTTTTCCATTTTTTACCAAACATCCCTACTGCCTCTTCTACCCTACCCTGATTTAATCCCAATATCCAAACAGGTAGTCTCACCCCAAATTCTCACCATTGGTTAAACATGTAACTGATGTTAAGACACTCAAAAATGTTGAAACCGTGGCAAAGTCACATTTTTTTTTAGAAAGCTACACATTACTTATAATTGAAGTTACACTTCACATATAAGGAGGAAAAAACTCATGTAGGTATGGAAAGTATACAGGAATGTCTCAATACCGCAATGATTGCTGGGTAAAGATTTTATTATATGTTTGTGTAGGCGAATGTGTGGCAAATACCGCTGGTTCTGGGGTGAGTCTGACACGTAACTGTCTCCTCGATTATGAGAAATAAATGCGAGGCGAGTGAGAAGCCGTAGGACAATTTGCAACAAATGTGTAATGAACACAAATGCTTAACAAAGCCACAGGCCCATGTGGCTGATATCAGCTGCTGTTTCTCATTTTCATTGGACCAAAATATTAAAGGAACGTCATGGAAACTGATATGCATAAATAAGCACCAGAAACAACATTCTGCTAAACTCTACTGACTCTGTGGGAATTAGAATCATGGTGAGCTTTGGAATTTTTTTTTTTCTTTCATTGGAGCGGCTCAGATCTGTCTGTTAGGAAAGCACCAAAACACAGCTCTGCTCAGCTGTTGCTGCCCACCAGGAATCTCTAAATGAGAAAGTGAGGTTGAACCACTTTGGCTGCTGTCACCACCACACACACCCACAGATAACAACATTGAGATTTACAGCCTTGAAGGGACATCTAATCAAACTCACCTTAGTCTTCAGGTTTATTTACTATTTGGGCTGATACAAAAGGTCAAAGTGTTGCTGATTAGCCTTGTTAGCCCATGTTGGTAGATGCTGTTACACCATCTGACTGTGAAAAGTGTTTCTCCATTTGCGGTCATTCAAAATTAGCTTTATTTTTTTTATTTATATTTACAAGCACATATATTCATTTTAATAAAGTCTGTTTGGTCAGTGCAGAGTTTTGATTTGGAGCACTCTTAAAAGC